CCAGCCATGCTGGCTGGGGAATTCTGGGAGTTGAAGTCCACTCATCTTAAAGTGGCCAAGTTTGGACAACACTGCTTTAGGGAAATAAACACTGAGTTTAGACTACTCCAATAATTATTTTGTTATAGCAGGAGAAGGATGCAGTATCCAGATCCAAATAGGTTATGGGTGCTTTTAATCCAAATAATGCACATGTTACACACAGTCTGTATTTGAATTCTAAATACTTTTAACTTCCACAGCCCACTACTTTGCGCTGAGTATTTCTCCCCTTTGTAAATAATATTTTGTATCGGAAAGAATGGCAGGAAACTGATCAGCCGCTGATCAAATCACTTTAGATAAGACGTAAGAAGAGGCAGGAAACCACGAGATTCTGCGGAGCCAGGATCAACTGACAACCCTGAGATAGACTAATGGTTGGATGACTGTATAAGAAAGCCTCATTTGTTTATAAGGTATTAATGTTTCCTGCAAGTGTTTAAAATCCTAACTCACTTTCCATCAGCTTTTTGTACTGATGCAATTTTGTTTGATGAGAAAAATGTAAGAGTTGATATACTTATTATGACAATCTTCTCCACCTTGTGTCATTTATTTTTTATTTTTTGGATATATATCCTCCAGGAGCTGAAGGCAGCATACATAATGCTTCCTCTTCTAATGCTTCCTACAAGAGCCCTGGGAGGTAGCTTGGGCTGGAAGAAAGAGTGACTGGCCCATAGTCATGCAGTGAGTTTCCATGGTTGAGGGAGGATTAAAATCTGGGTCTCGCTGGTGATAGCCCAACATCAACATTGCTCCACCACGCTGGCATTTTGGAAGCACTGAACTGTAATTCTTAAAGTCCCCAGCCATCAAGAACAATCAGGCTAAAGACGATGGGATGTCTAGCTCAGCATTTTTGAAGGATCCTCCTACTGATACTGGCAATCAAGGTATTTGGGATTTTCCCTTGGAGAATGCACTTTGTATATGTGTATAGTCAGAGGGAAAAGGTGATGTTCCTGTAGAGTTAGGTTACTCTTTTGAGCTTAAGAAATGGTTTAAACTGCCATTGGCTAGATCAACACCAAACAAACGAACCATGATTTAGCACAACTTTCCCCAGTGTGGTAGCCCTTTAAATGTGTGGCCTTAACTCACAATTCCCAGCAGTGACCCCAGGGAATTCTGGGAGTTGAAGTCCACACATTGGGAGGCCAGGTTGGAGAAAAGCAGCTTAAGGTGATAGGTGAACTGAGCCCTAAGTTAAAAGACCACTAAGGTGATCAACAAGGTTCCTGGTGACTTAGGTCAGATAGATATACAGTACAATATCTTGACACAACCACACCTGCTGTTCCTATACCTGCACAATTATCAGAAAGTCGGTGATAAAATTCAGAGGCTGGACTTCTAATGATTACCTGTACCTAAAGGTTATCACACTACGTACCGATTATACAAAGAGTGAAAGAACGTGTGGTCTATTTTTGCCCTGTTCCTCCCAGCTAAGCATTTTACCAGCAAGATTTTCAGTTTTCAATCTTGCAGGTAAAATGTTTAGCAGAGAGAACGGGGCAAAAATATCACACATTCTTTGGACGTTCAAGTTTAGCTCACATTGAGAAATAGAAAATTCTACCACAACACCAATTACATTTCATTTGAAGTTAATACTTACTCATTGGGAGCAGAAAGGAATTCAAGTGGAGCAGGAAGTGTTACACCATGGGCCTGCACCCAAGGTACACACCTTTCTACTTGTCCTACTATTTAAAGGTATCTGTTAAATAGGAGCTGGAGCAAAATTGCCTCTATTCCATGCCAGGATACAACGGAGCTAATAAAGCAGCAACTTGAGATACCTAAAAAGAATTAAGAATATGACTCGTGAGCAGGGCAGGCGGGCAATTCTTGGTCGAGAGGCACTTATTAAGCGTGTTATATAGCAAAAGGCACTGAGAATGCTAGAAAATGTTTCCTAAGATTACTAATAGGAACTAGCTTACAATGTATATCCATGTCTCGCTCTTTATTCCAAGATGTATACATTAATTTCTTCACGCTGAATCTCTCATTTTCCTAAAAAAGGCAGACTGACTACAAATGAATCCTTCTTTTCTTAGCTCCTTTGCCTTAACTTCCAAATCTTACCTCTGCTATTCTGCTAGGGATTATTTTTCACAAGTCTTCCAAGGAGGCCACGCTCTGTCCCACACAAGACGGCTAAATAAAACTGTTGCCCTAAGGATGTTAACTTTAGGCAAAACCAAAACATTACTTTGTGGCAGGCTACCAAGAAGATCTCACATTAAAGGAGCTTGACACGTTTCCTTTAAGAATTACTCTGCAAAAAGGATCCTTTATGTTTTCACTTTTTTTCTTATTTTATTAAAAGGTATTTAAATGTATAGCCAAGAAAAACAAACAAACAAACATAGCTTTCTCTGTTGTGATGCTTGCCCTCCAGAATAGTACGCTCCTGAAGTTGCTCCAAGCCTGTTGTCTTTTAAACAGGCTTGAAGATCCAGCTTTTCCCCCCAAAAATTAGGCTAGGAAGTGTGTCTGCTCTAGGAATGTTATTAATGTTCTTGGTGAATTAATCTATGGGTTATCACCTTCTTTTGTATGTATTGTATTTATTTTATCTTGTACGCTGCTACAAGTCAGGCAGCGTATTAGATTTATAAATAAATAGATGAAATGTGAAAAAGAAGGGGAAAAAATCAAGATGGAGATGGAGTAAGGGAAAGTGTGCCAGAATAGAGGAGGCAGGGGGAGGGAAACTGAAATGGACCAAGGAGCTGGCAGGAAGCAGTTGGGGAAGGAAAAAATAGCTAGCAAGAAAAAATAACAAAGACAGGTTGCAGGGTGATTCAAAATCACTGAAGAGGAGCTGACATATAGAAATCATTATGCAGAGAAACGGATGGCAAGGCATGGGTCCTGCCTTGAAGTCAGCCCTTCGAGGTAGTCCAGGCAAGAAGCACTAACCATGACCACTAACACTACCATTATTGCAAGGTTACAGCAACAGAGACTTGCAAGACTGAAAGTATTTCTCCCCTCCTTTGCTTTTACTTTCCAGAAAACTAGAGAGGGTCCCTTCTGAGACACTTCCCACGCCCCTTTTCCTTCCGAGGGCTTTTCCGCCTTTTGCATGATGGCTGTCTCGTCTGCAGCTCTTCCTCCTGTCTCCCAAGGTCATTCCCACAGACCGTTACAACTGTCCAGTGCAGATTTCCAGAGCAAGAAGAAGATCCAAAAAGGCAGAAGATGATCATGGTTGTTCTAACCAAGAGGTTGCCCAATAAGTTTTAAATGAACATCTTGACTAATTCTTTGAGGAGTTAGAACCTACTTTATTTTATGGTAAGCACACTGTTATATTAGGGGAAGCAACGCTATTGAATTCGGGAGATAATTAATTTTGGATTGGTGGGCAAATTAAGCTGTAAAGCAAGTCACTACATTCTTTTAAAGGCAGAAGACAGAAGGGAGGGAGAACTGAAGGTCTGCGTGCAAGCATTAGCTAGATGCCTCTTGGAAGATTAACTGACTGAAAGAGTCAATCTCATATAGAAATTAATATCTTTCTGTATTTCAGATACTGTCAATAGAGGGGAAAAAACCCTTCATTTGGTTCACAGGAAGATGCTGTACTGGGCCATATTAGTGCTGTATTTTCTCTGTATTTATTACTAAGGGGTAATTGCACTAAAAAAGGAAAGGCAAAAGAGAAAAGAAAAAGGGTTAATTCACCAGGCAAACAATTTTTCCAAGCAGTTGGCGTTTAACAATCCATTCAATCCTTATTAGATAATAATAACAACAATAATAATAATTCTATTATACCAATCGTAATTGGAGCCCTTGGAGCAATATTTAAAGGACTCCCTTGATATTTGGAAATTTTGAATTTATTGGACCTGAACACCTTAATTTTACAAAAAAATACGATATCCTTGGACTCTACCTTAATAATTCTTAGGTCCTTGGTTAGGATTTAAGTATTAAATTTTCACCAGTCTTTGATTGTGAATCTAATTGTACATTACTATAATAACAATATTAATAATAATAATTTATTAAACTTGTATGGTAAATTAAAACAACACCACATTTATTCACGGGCAATTAGTTTAGGAAAAAAATCCTCTTCTTAATGGTAAATATAATACAAGTAGTCCTCGCTTACCAGGAGTAATTGGGACTGAGAACTCCGTCTCTAAATGACACAGTCGTAAAGCACATCATGTGACTACACTGACTTACGATAGCAGTTCCAGCAGTTCCAGTTGCCACTGTTAGGCAAATCCCACACAGTCACAGCATCCCATAGTCACGTGATCACCATTTGCAACCTCCTTCCAGCTTCCCCATTGACTCTACTTGTCAAAAGCCGGCAGTGAAGGTCGCAAATGGTGACCACATGACCACAGGACACTGCAACGTCATAATTGCAAGATGGTCGCTGAGTGCCCAGATCACAATCACTTGACCACGGAGATGCTGCAACAGCCATGAATACGAGGACCCATTTTAAGTACCATTCGTTCAGTGCTGTCGTAACTTTGAACAGTCGCTGAACGAGTGGCCGTTAAGCAAGGGCTACCTGTACTTGTCTACCTATGAATAGCTCTTTTTTGTAATTTATTCACACACACACATTGTCTACCTATGAATAGCTCTTTTTTGTAATTTATTCACACACACACACACAAAATAAGCGTGTAGCACTTCACTATGATGTACACTTTCATGGACTTATTTTAGACTCATAAAGTTGTCTACCTATGAATAGCTCTTTTTTGTAATTTATTCACACACACACACACACACACACACACACAAACAAAATAAGCGTGTAGCACTTCACTATGATGTAAACTTTCATGGACTTATTTTAGACTCATAAAGAAGGGAAATTCTTACTAACCTTGACTCAGTTTTAGCGGGTTTAAAAATTGTTTTTAAAATCTAGACTGTTGACTAACCAGGCCAATGTGGGCAACTTATTCAGCCTCAAAAATATATTGTGGTCTCGTACACATCTGCATGTTTTAGTGGCATATAATTAGGGCTTTGAATATAAATCTGATGAACACAGAGAAAGCGAAATTACAGTTGGTGAACATGTTGAATTTGGTCTACGGTATTTTTTCCACTCAGAAATAGCTGTTCTTAGATATTAGAAACTCAGTTCAGACCTTGAAACATTTTGATTTACAGTCTTCTAAATTATGGCAGACAGAAAATGACTCACGTATGACCAGTTTTGTTTTGTTTTAAACTATAAACTTTTGGCATGTTGGCAATCTCAGACTAAAAGTTTCACACATACTAAATCCACATTTATTTTATTTACTTAGTGGGTGTAAGTTATCCATACCTATGTATTTTGAAACACAGTGCATTAATCTGGTTCATAGGTTGGTTACTCTATTCACCCATAACAATAAATCAGTTTCTTGAATAAGCCACATTGCTTTAGTTTGTACAACACACCAAGCCATAAACTTATCCAAGACTAAAGAAAGCATGCTATGGTTTTGTACGTTGTGTGAACCATGGTGTTAGGTCTTTAGCCCTTCTAAAATATGTAAAAGTTGACTATATGTCTAAGTTTCTGGTCTTTATCTCCTATACCAGTAATCTCCAGTAAAGACAGAAAGATCCTGCTACAGGCGAGAGGGAGGGAGGAAGGGAGGGAAGGAAGGAAGGAAGGGTAGGTAGGTCATGGGAGATATAAGGCCCTTAAAAACTATATCCCAATCAGAATTCCATACATGGAGAGCTCTGCTAACAACCTGGTTCCAACATCTGGTTCTTCCCAGCTCTTCAAGGCTTTCTGGAAATCTAACAGGATCACAAAGCAATGGTGCTATGTGGGTATACCAGGAATGCTCAGAACTGCCCACCCTGGACCAGCTGCGGCTTCTGAATGCTCTACAAGGGCAGGCCCAAGTATACCACCTTGCAACAGTCCAACTGGGTAGTGACTAAGATTCAGGCTGAATCTTGGGATTTCTTGGGAGCTTACAACAGTGGTAGAGTCCAATCCAGTCTACAGACTCTTGGATTGGATGGCAGGCAAAGCTTTTGGGCCAACAGAGATATTTGGAATCTAGAGCAAATCATGGGAACTCTCGTAAAATGGCCATGGGGAGGAAGGCTTACCTTCCAATGGCCATGAGAAGTCTCTATATACTCATTTACCAGAAAATAAACTGATGAAGATACTCTCTGCCATGCTCCTCCAGCACCGTAGGATTCCTCCTAGCCCAGCATATCTGCAGTGGGCACCTATCACTCCCCATTTTTAAAGAAGGCTTATGAGGCCACGTAGGACCCAGAGGCCTTCTTGAAAACCGACATGATGATAAGGTGGGGTCTTCTTACTCTGCCAGTTTTCTATTTCTTTAAAAAGTTTCAAATGTAAATTTTAAAAAGCAAATGGAACTAGGACTCTGGCAGGCAGCAAAGGAGCTGTCCGAGGGCACCACATTAGCTGTCTCTGCCCCCTAAAAATCTGACACTGTGGCAAAACAACAGAGGCACTTAAGTTCTGGGATTCTCTAGGTGCATTTCCCCTGCAGCCTAAACAACAAAGACATTTGAAACAGGTAGCATATGGCAGTCTTCACCCATCTGGTACCTGAAGATGCAGTGGACTTTTATCCCAGAATTCCTAACCAGCTGCGGAAGACTGCTGCCTATAGCATGAATAATTGAAGGACAATTTTAAGGAGCAAGTTAAAAGCCCCTAGTCCAAATACACTTGCATAATTTAAAAAGGGGGGGCTGTTTTGTAAACCCTCCACTCTTTAGCTTTGTCTTTGCCTCCAATGTTGTTAAGAAACCA